AAGGAGTTTCACTGCCAATTCAAAGGCACACAGTTTGAATCCACTGGCTCCTATATGAGAGAAAGATGGGCAGCCTCTTACCATGTGATTTACTACATCTGAAAACTTACTGGAGGATCACTTATGAGTCCATTTCAACTTGGCAATACATAGTTTAGTGCCACTAAGGTATTACTCTAAAAGCTAAATATTTATTGTTGTGTACCATTGAATCAGAACTGACCCATAACTAACTCTTCAGTGAGCTTTTAGAGGCAGTTAATCACATGGGAGGAAATTTCCCATCTTTTTCCCACACAGCAGCTGGTTCATTTCAATTGCCTTCTGTCAGGATTACAGTGCAGCTTTTTACCACTAGGCCACCAGATTTCCCTAACTGTGCTAACAGCATGTAACAAGATAAATAAATTAACTTTTCTACTGAAAACCAAATTATCCTTAATGTCTGAGCCTCAATATAGCCAACATGATTAAAATTTCATCTTTCCTAAATAAAAACAATCTCAGACAATTGTTAAGAAATTCCTTAGTGTTCAACAAAATTAATGTCATTTTTAAATATGTTGTTGTTGTTATGTGCCATCGAGTTGCTTGTGACTCATAGCGACCCTATGTACAACAGCTCGAAACTCTGCTCTGTCCTGTGCCAATCTCATTGTCTCCAACACACTCATCCTGATTGCCCCAGTCACCGAATCAATCCATCTCCCAGAGGGCCTTCCCCTCCTGTGCCTGCCGTCCACCCTCCCAAGCATGATGTCCCTCTCCAAGGACAGATCCCTCCTTACAAGATGACCAAATTATGTCAGACGAAGCCTCAGAATCCTTGCCTCCAAGGAGGAGCCCAGTTTAACCCTCTCCAGGATGAATCTGTTTGTTTTCTTAGCAGTCCATGGCACCCTCAGCACTCTTCTCCAACACCAAAGCTCAAAAGCACCAATTCTCCTTCTATCCTCCCTGGTCATTGTCCAGCTCTCTGATGCATAACAAGTGATTACAAAGACCATGGCCTGTACCAGATGCACCTTAGTCTCCAGAGACACAGCATTGCTCTTGGGTACTTTAGAGAGGTCCCTAACAGCAGACTTTCCCATCACAATACATCGTTTCGTTTCCAGGCTGCTGGTGCCAAGAGTGTTGATTGTGGAGCCAAGCAGACTAAAGCTGTGAACAATCTCAATCTCTTCACCATCCATCCTGATGCTGCCAATTGGTCCAGTGGTGAGAATCTTTATCTTCTTGACATTGAGCCTCAATCCATATTGAAGGTTGCAGTCCTTGACCCTCTGCAGCAAGTGCTCCAGGTCCTCCTCAGTTTCAGCAAGCAGGGTTGTGTCATTTGCATAGCGCAGATTGTTTATAGATCTTCCACCAATCCTGATACCACATTTCTCCTCATAGAGCCCAGTCTCCCGGATGATCTGTTCTTCATACAGGTTGAAAGGTATGGAGACAGGACACATCCCTGGCATATGCCCTTCCCAATTTTGAACCTTGCAATGTTTCCTTGCTCTGTTCTAATGACTGCCTCTTGGTTCAAGTATAAGTTTCGCATTAGAACGATCAAGTGTTCTGGGATTCCCATTCTTCTCAGAGTCAGCCACAGTTTGTAATGGTCCACACAGTCAAACGCCTTTGCATAATTAATGACGTACAGATAGACAGTCATCTGTTACTCCCTGCTTTCAGCCAATATCCATCTAACATTAGCTACAATATCCCTAGTACCACAACCCCTTCTAAACCCAGCCTGGACTTCTGGCCGTTTTCTACTGATGTGCTGTTCCAGTCGTTTTTGGATAATCTTCAACAGAATCTTGAACACGAATGAGCAAAGACCAGATGAGTTGTGGGAGGATATCAAGGGTATCATCCAAGAAGAGTGCAAACGTTCATTACAAAGACAGAAGAGGAAGAAAAGACCAAAACAGATGTCAGAAGAGACTGTGAATATTGCACTAGAGCACAAAGAAGCCAAAGCACAATAAAGAACTCAAGATACTAAAGAGTTGAACAAAAGATTTCAAAAGGCAGCGCAGGATGACAAAGTAAAATATTACAACGAAATGTTCAAGGAGTTGGAGTCAGAAAACCAAAAGGGTCAAATTCGCTCAGCAAAAGCTCAAGGAACTGAAGAACAAATTCAAACCTCGAGGATGCTTTAGGCAGAGTATTAAATGATCCAGGAGGCATCAAAAGAAGATGGAAAGAATATACTGAGTCATTGTATCGAAAGAATTAGCAGACACAGAAGAATTTAATGAAACAACATATGAGCAAGAACCTATGGTGATGAAGGAAGAAGTTCAGGCTGCTTTGAAAGAAATAGCAAAAAATAAGGACCAAGGAATAGGTGGTATACCAATTGGCATATTGGACATGCTCACCAAGTTGTGTCAAGAAATCTGGAGAACCACTTGGCCAACTGACTGGAAGAGATCTACATTTGTTCCCATTCCAAAGCAAGTTGACCCAACAGAATGTGGAAACTATAGAACAATATCGTTTTTAAATATAACTTTAGAAAAATATGGAAACATATTTATCAACATCATCTTTCCATGAAAATAGCACCATCCTGACTTTATCAAAGCATAATTTGCAGGAGTAAAAATATGCCTTAAAAACCCTTTTTTATTATCCCATCAACAATGTATAAGAATTCCTATCTCACCACATCCTCTCCAACATTTATTACTTGTTGCTCTGCTGAACTTTGCCACTGCTACTGGGGTAAGATGGCATCTCTTTGTAGTTCTGATTAGCATTTCTTTATGTGTTTGTTGGCCATCTGAATGTCCTCTTCTATGAAAAGTCTTTCGTAATTGGATTATCAGCCTTTTTCTTTTGGAGGCTCAGGGTATTCTGTAAATGTTTGTTACTAGACCTGTGTCTAAGAGAGTATTGCCGAATGTCTGTTCCTAGTCAGTAGGTTTTGTTTTCACCCTTTTGGGAAAAGTTTCTGATGAGCACAGAGATTTAATCTTTAGAAGGTCCCATTCATCAATTTTATCCTCTTCAGATTGTGCATTTCTGACTCTATTTGACAGGTTTTTTATGCCATAGACTAGACCTTCCAAGCTTGATCCCAATTTGTCTCTTATGAAATTATCAAAGGTTTGGGGCTTTATTCCCAGATCTCTGATCCACTTGGAGTTAATTTTTGTGTATAGTGTGAGGTGTGGATCCTGTTTTAGCTTTCTGCAGTTAGCAGTCCAGTTTTGCCAAGATAGGAAATCTCATACATTGTTGGTGGGATTTTAAAATGGTACAACCACTCTGGAAGTCAGTTTGGTATTTTCTCAAAAAAGCTGAAAATAGAAATTCTATCTGAACTAGCCATTCCACAACTTGAAATATATCCTGAGAAAATGAGAACTGAGGCACAAACAGACTTGTACACCAATGTTCATAGCACCATTATTCACGTTTACAAGAACATAGAAACAGACCAAAATGCCCAATTGGAATGGATTGAGAAATTATGGTACAGACACACAATGGAATTCTATGCAGCACACAGGAGCAATGATTTTGTAAATTACTATCTTACACAGGAAGGTCTGGAGAACATTACGCTAAGTAAACTAACTCAGTCTCGTAAAAACAAATACTGTATAAGAACATTATTGTAGAACTAGTACAAGGATCCAAGGGGCGGAGTCTTAATCATAGGGTCACACGGGTCACACAGTTTGATGGGGGGAGAGAGGGGTGGGCAATGGAAAGGGCAAGATCCTCAGGTATGTATGAGAAACAATGTATATGACTTTGTAAGTAAACCAGTATTTTTTTTTTAAAATCTTTTTTATAAATTTTTAATTCTTTTCATCATCCATCCTTGATCTACTGTTGTTGTTATGTGTCTTCAAGTCGCCTACAACTCAGAGAGACCCTATGTACAGCAGCTCTGAAGCCTGCCCTGTCCTGAACCAGACTCACTGATTCCAACATACCTACCCCATTGCCCCAGTTACATGATCTACTATTATATAAGAATTCCTTTACAACCATGTCTGAACAATTTCTTTTGTTTTATTTTTATTATTTCTACCATCAAAATATTAAGGCAGCACAAAATTCCTGAATTGTAGCATGGAAAACACATCTATAACCTTCATCCAATTCACAACAAAGGGTCTTTAAAATATATAAAGTAATTGTGACTTCTAACAAAGATTTCTCATTATTGATACTATTTAATAGGTTTATAATAATAATCCTCAAAATTACCATTTTACAAACCTTTATTTTAAAAATTAATTATTAAAAAGCAAAATTTTACCCCTTCCTATCTTTAATATTCATGTTTCAGCTACTTTGATGTACTATACCAGATCAAACTAGCTTTATATTTTTGTAAACAATTAGCTTTGTTTTTTAAAATCAAACCTAAATAATATTTACACAAATATATGGTATTCTCTCTACTAAATTTTCTTTTCTTTTCGGATCCTTGGTAAATTGTTCAGGAGATATCTCTCACTAGGAACAGTACCGTTCATAGTATGGCAAAATGTATTAACATAAAAGTCAGAACACCAATGCCTTAAGGCACTAAGTGCCTTAAGATTTTCCTACTCATATATAGAAATATGTATTTGTATGCCCTTATAGGTATCTAAATTATCATATTTCCCCTGTTATAATCACCAGGGCAATAATAGTCCATAAATTATTAACTAACACATGTTACATTACACGTTTGATAATCTTCTTTAGCCTAAATATTTGCTTTTTTTTTCTTCTTGTTATAGTCAACATTATGCTAGCTGAGGAGGCAACTGAATTGTTACTTTATAATACATTCTAGAGAAAATGACAGTGAAGCTCAATAATAGCTGAAAGAGTCTCATGAAAGAAACATAAATTAAAATTGATCTATCAAATTTTCCGATTCATTTAATTTCCATCAAACATAGATATGTCTTCCTGTTTATGAAGGAAAAAGGGGTTTATGTTGATTGGTTTGTTTTATGAAACTAAAGATTTTATTGTTTTCAAAGACATTTATGATGCCTTAGTAGTCCTGAAGCAGCCTGTCTCAGTTTGCTGTTTCCCAGAACTAGGATGAATGAGTGGCCTGCAGAAAAAAGAGTTGATAGGAATATGATAACAACATTGACTTCTTGATTCTGCAATACAAAGACAATCGCGTGTGCCGTTATGTTGCAAGAAGAGTGGACTGTGAAGAGGAGGAGGAAAGACATCACCATTTTCATGGCCTTTTTATGAGCCTCTGTGTTAAAGTCACTTGTGTCCATAAAGTTGAGCTGCAAATTCCTGACGTGTCTCATCAAGGACAAAAATAAAAGAAGCAATGAAGTCAGAGACAGAAGAAAGGGGATTGAATATGTCACACACAAAACAATTAAGCTGTCAAAAGATTTACTTATATCTGAAGACCAAGTGAAGTTGTTTTCATGTTTTGCAAAGACAACAATCCAGACAGCATTGCTTCTATATGTTAACACAAGGTTGGAAAGCAGTAAAACCAAAGAAATCAGTAAAAGGACAAGTAGTACTCTATTGCTTCTTCTCTTCAGCCAGGCAAAGCAGGAGTGTGAGAATTTGGCTATTTTAAAGAAGTAGAAAACACTGAGGCAGGTGGCAAACCAGTTGGTAAGGTGATTAGCCAATGCCCAGGAAGCAGTTAAAAATTGTGTGACTTTATCAATAGCATATATATGTGGCCATAATAATATCATAAATAATTCAACAAGTACTATCCAAAGAAAGGTGATTCTTGAGATAGCCAAAAGAGTAAAGATACAGTCAGCTGATGAGATCTTTTTATTCTTTACCCAGTCAATGCAGTTCACTAATCCAATGAATCCATTTCCTAACATTCCCATTATAAATGCTCCTGTTGTCAGGACCAGTAATGTGCTTACAGTTCCTGATAGCATTTCTGTGACAAGAAATCCAGAATTCTAATATTGTATCTCACTGGTACTTACGCTTTCCCAATATTGCTGAATGAGCAGCTTGCTCCTTTTAACTTTTACATTAAAAATGTATTAAATTATTTAGTTCTGCTGTTTGGTACCACCGTCCTTTTCTTCATGAAAGGTCTAATATTTTGTTAATTCCAGCCATCAACATGACATATGCCCAGGGCAATTCAATCACACAAATTCTACTTAAAAACCTTCAAATATCTTTCAATTGGCTACTGATTTTGAAATTAAAATTAAATGAGCCTGTTTGTCATTGTCATTGACAGCAGTTTTCTATTTGTGATGAAATCTGAAAGAGTGAAGTCAGGTATGCAAACATGCAAATATAAGAAAAATTTCTTTCCACTGATTTGTACTTTCCTCCTTCACTGAAACATAATATGACTTAGATTCAAATATCTTCATTTTAACTAAACACTCTAGAAATATCTATGGTTTCATTACAGAAATTCATTTATTTGATAAAGATTGTATTTTAGTTAAAATGTTTTAGATTAAATAAGCACATTAGAAATTCTTAAAAGCACCATCAAGGATCTTAGAGATTATTGGAACAAAACACCCATAGATTGCTTATTTCTATTGAATAACACAAGTTTGATCCAAGTGCAAGTGGGACACAAAGAGTTTGTTACAAACTCTTTAAATTCATTACTTTTTAAAAATTTCTTGAAAGTAGTGACCACATATTTGAGTTTTAAAGCTTTTGTGGGTTAAGAAGTGACTAGAAGAAACTTTTTAAGAATGATATAAACACACATATAATTGTACCATTTAAGAATGATATAAACACACATATAATTGTACCAAAATCATATGTCCATCTGAACCATTCTCATTAATTCTTGACTTATTGCCAATTAATTACTGGGTTTTGATTCTGAGAAAACTCTCACCAGCTGAAAGGAAAATGAAAATACTGGAAAAAAAATTTTCCAAAACAGTGAGAAAAGAGGGATGTTCCCTTAATTCTGTTTTGTAGGAAACTAAATCATAGCAAAACACATCAATTTTTAGTGTATCTGATGGAGCTTCCCCCACCCTCTTTTATACCATCCACTTGTATTTCTGTTACAGAAGGTCTAGGTAAGTAAGACATGCTTTAAAGCTTGGCCCAGTTCAAAGGAGATGGGAGTTTAAGTAGGCACTTAATAAGAAAAACAGCCTACAAGAGAGAACAGATAAAACCACTTGAAATTAAGAAAGACATGACATGACTTTCAGAAGTTATTCTAAGTAAGAAATTTTCTCCAATTCATTAATTCATTGAAAAATCATTACTGGGAAATCAGAGGTGGTACACAGCTGACCTTTCAGCAGGTTGTTTGGGGCTATAATCAGCATGGGAGGACACTGTCCAGCTTTCTCCCATGGAGCTACTTGTGAATTTGAACCAGCCACTTTTAGGTTAGCAGTGCAACTACTTATTGACTATGCTTGAAGAGGGTGAAAGCAAGTTTCTCCTTGTAGTTAGGATTTTAAAGCTCCATCTCACACACTTTGGGCACATGCCTAGAAGGACCGGTCCTTAGAAAAGGACAGCATGCTTGGAAGCATAGACGGATGACAGAAGAGAGGAAGATCCCAACTGAGATGGATTGATACAGTAACTGGGGCAATGGGGGTAGGTGTGTTGGAGTCAGTGAGACTGGCTCGGGACAGGGAAGGCTTCAAGGCTGTTGTACATAGGGTCGCTATGAGTCACAGGTGACTTGATGGCACATAACAACAACAACAGCCACCAAAGCTCCCCATTTACTCTTTACAATGCTCTCCAGTCAACTGCAACTCATAGCAACCCTATGACTAATATATCAGAACTTTGTCCTATCATGCTTTACATTCACAATCTCTAATATGCTTGCGCTCATTATTATAGTTACTATGCATGGTGTTAGGATTTTTAAGAACAATTTTTCTACTTTGTTGCCTTTGATTTGACCATATGACCCCGTGGGAAGGTGCAAGTAAAATAAATCTTTGCGGCTGCACTCACCAAACTTAGCTCGTGTTGGGAGGTGGCATGTCCTGCTGCCTCAACTACACACACACGGCTTGTAGTTGATCAGTATCATAAGCATCATCAGCAGATGCAAGGCCATCACAAGAAAGAAAGCTAACTAGACTGTCAGACTCTGTGACAAGATGTAGCCTGAAGGAGCCAGACAGAGCCAGGGCCAAAGCTCTTGAGATGGGAACCTCCACATTAGGAAACATGAATCAGAGGAAATAGCACACATTGTTTGGGAACAGAGGTTCCTGCCCAAGAGATACCTTATAGTTGATGGAGAAGCTGCCTGGATTCATTGAGGGAATGTATTTTGCTTGTGTCCACAATCAACACCCATGGCACCAGCAGTCAGGAAATCAAAAGATTTGCATTGGAAAACATTTTTTGCTATCAGGGACCTCTCTATAGTACTGAAGAGCAAAGAGGTCAGTCTAGAAGGGTGCACTTGAACCAAGCCACGGTTTATGCATTACTTGCTATGGACAATGAATAAGGATGATAGAAAAAGAATCAATGCCTTTGCCTTATTCTAGGCCATGATCATCATTTTTTACTTATTTGAGACCATTGCTGTAGTCACTGTGTCAATGAGTTGTGGTGCTGGAGAAGAGTATTGGCCATACTGTGGACTGCCAACAATACAGGTCTGTCCTGGCAAAAGTGAAACCGAGCTGCTCCTTGGAGATAAGGATTTTGAAGCTCTGTCTTGCATACTTTGGGCTTTTTGCCAGGAGGGACCTGTCCTTGGAGAAGGACATCATGCTTGGAAGTGTGGAAAGACAGCACAAGAAAGAAAGACCCTAGATGAGATGAACTGACTCAGTAACTGGGATAGTGGGAGTATGTGTTTCAGAGACAATGAAATTAGCTCAAGAAAGGGCAGGGTTCAGAGCTGCTGTACAAAGGGTCGCTATGAGTTGCAGGCGATGTAACAGCATACATCAATGTCTTGCTGTTGACTGAGAAGTTGTCTGAACTATATGAGAGATTGTGTCTTCCTGTTAATCTAGCTTGGGACTTCTGTTTACAAAACCTGGACTTTCACTGTGCATGATATCCATTGCCTTCCACTTCCCAACCTCTTTCCCTAATAAATCTCACAAAACTGTGAGTGAAAACAAATTCTGTATAGGCTGCATGCTCATTTGCAATTAATTTCAGACCTAGTAATTATTAGAAGTAGGTGCAGGAGAGTAGTGGGGGATGTCTGAACTTACAGGGATCAGTTTTATACTGTGGATATTTTTGATGGGGACAGTTCCCCCTTGTGGATTTAGAAGAGGTCAGGTTTCACTGTCCCCATATTATCCTTTTACAGAGTCAATCCATCTCCTTCAGAGTCTCCTCTTTTTTCCAACCCTCCTCCTTTCCCATATGCTGGCTTTTTCTAAGAACTGGCTGCTCTTGACAGCACGCTCAAAGTATGTGAGACAATGTTTCATCCTCCTTACCTCTAAGGATTAATCGGGTTGTGTTTCCTCTAAGACAGACTTATTTGTTCTTTTGGTGGTCCATAGGCTATTTCGTACTCTTTACTAATTATTCATTTTGCTTAGATCCATAGTCAAATGATTCATTTACTTAAATTCATTTTACTAAAATCCATAGTTGTTTATTGTTGTTGTTAGGTGCATCTGCATACCAAAGATTGCCGATGAGTCTGCCTCTGACCTGATACGACATTCTTCATACAGGCCAGCTTCTCAAACTATTTGCTCATAATATAGATTGAATAAGTAAGGACAAACGATACAATCCTGTCTGACACCTTTCTTAATTTTAAACCAGGCAGTTTTTCTATGCTCCTCTCAGACAACAACTTCTTGCTCTATGTGTAGATTCCCTACGGGCATAATTAAGTCATGTAGCTTTCCCATTCTTCTCAATGTTCTCCATAGTTTATGATACACACAGTCAAATGCTTTTACATAGTCAACAAAGCACAAATAGATAACCTTCTGTTATTCTCTGGTTTCATACAGGATCCTTGTAATATTAGCAATGATATCCCTGTAGCCACAGCCTCTTTGAAATCCGGCTTGATCTTCTGACAGCTCTCTATCAAAGTACTGTTCTAGCCATTTTGGATGAACTTTAGCAATATTTTGTTTGCATGTGGTATTGATAATTTCCAGATTCTGTTGGATTATCCTTCTTAGAAATGGAAACAAATATGGATCTCCTCCAGTCAGTTGGCCAGGTAGCTGTCCTCCATAGTTCCTGGCATAGGGCATCTGCTATTTGAAACATGTCAATTGGTATCCATCAATTCCTGGGGTCTTTTTTTGTTGCTGTTGCCAATGCCTTCAGTGCAGCTTCAGTATCTTCTTTACCATTGGCTTTTGGTCATATAGTACTTCCTGAAGTTCTTCAATGTAAAAAATTATTTTTGGTACGATGATTCCTTCCAACTTCTTTTGATGGACCCTGAATCATTCACAGTTTTCCCCCTATTTCTCAGGATAGCAGCTTGAGGCTTAAATTTGTTTTTCTGCTCTTTCAATTTGATAAATGCTAAGCAAGTACTTCTCTTTTTATTCTTCAATTCCAGCTCTTTGCATATTCCATTATAATGCTTTGTTTTCTCCATTTGTTTTACCCTTTGACATCTTCTGCTCAACTATTTTGCTTCAGCATCTCATCCCTTTGTTTTGGCTTCTCAAGTGCTCTAAACCAATTTTTTATAATCTCTTCTGACATCCATTTTGGTTTTTTTCTTTTCCTTTGTAATGATCTTTTGCTCTCTTCATGAATGATATCCTTGGTGCAATCCTACAACTCTTCTGATCTTCAATCATTGATGATCAATGCCTTAAACTTGCTCTTAAGATTATTTTTAACTTCAGGTGGGGTGGGTTCGAGGTTGTATTTTGGTTCTTGTGTA